GATAGAGGCCGTATAGTGCGACTTCGGGAAGCTGGACTTTCTTTTCGGGCAATTGCAGTTAGAGTGCAAAGAAGTGTAGACACTGTGGTTAGGTGTTGTCAGGCATGGCTTCGAGAAGGCCGTACGCAAAGAGCAAGGGACACTGGACGCCGCCGTAGAACAACAGACCGTGAAGATCGCCGCCTAAGATTATTGGCCTTAAGGGACCGTTTCTCCACTACCAGGTCCATTGCAAATGAATGGCTTGCAGAACACGGACCTATTGGCATGCGAAGTGTTTACCGACGAATGAAAAGTTTTGGCTTGTTTTCATACCGGCCACACTGGGTCCTCCCTTTAACTCGAGAACACCGACGTAATCGCCTTGAGTGGTGCAGACAACGGTCACTCTGGGATCAGGAATGGAACAGTATTGTCTTTAGTGACGAGTCTCGATTTTGTTTAGGCATGCACGATGGTCATGATAGCGTAAGAAGGCGACGTGGTGAAAGGAGGAATCCACAGTTTTTTGTTGAAAGACATGTTCATCACACTGTTGGAGTTATGGTTTGGGGTGCTATAGCTTATACTTCCAGGTCACCTTTAATCTTCATCAGAGGTAACATAAACGCGCAGCGTTATATCCACAAAGTTCTAGAACCCCATCTTTTACCCTATCTTGAAACCCTGGCAGATCCAACTTTCCAACAAGATAATGCCCGACCACATGTTGCAAGAGTCACAATAGACTTCTTTCAACATAATGATGTCACATTGTTACCATGGCCACCAAGATCTCCCGACTTATCCCCAATTGAGCACGTGTGGGATATGATGGGTAGGAGATTGCTCAATTTGCAACGTCCTCCTCGGACTCTAGAAGCACTTCGAGAGGAGTTGGTGGCTGCCTGGAATGAGATACCACAGGAGGACATTGACCACCTGATCAGAAGCATGCCTAGGCGCGTTGGAGAATGCGTAGCACATCAGGGTGCATCCACACATTATTAAAGGTCAAAGGGCTTCAAAGCAGTGCAATCATTTTGAAATTTTTATCACTCACTTATTATGCTTCATTAAGTACTTATACAAAATTTTATTAAAATAAAACCATTTAAACTGGGTGTTCGGATTTATATGTCACTTAGTATAATTTCTATGTCAGTCTGTTGAAAACAAGCTGGTAAGTAGTGAACATAATTTGAGTTCAAAAGTTTATTTATCCAGGTACCTCATACAGATCCAAATTGGTTAAGACCAAGTGCCTTGAGGACCAAGATTTTCCCGGAATATTTCTTACTAACCACGTATTGCAAAAAGAATAACCCTCGCGAAAATCCATATTTCTGCAACATTTTCCATACGGCCTCGCATATCTCACGATACACCCCCCCTGTACTCCCTACTTTGCATGCACGTCATATATGCCGTTAAACCGATCCAACTCGCCTCTGAATCCCTCCCTACAGCCTCCAAACTTCAACCCCCACGCCCATAGGGGTATCGTCTTTCCTCTTAATACCGGCATTTTTCATGCAAACATCGCTGGGATATGCCGCCGCGGGGGACGTTATTGCCACTTTGGAGGCACAGATATGATAGAAGGAGGCACATACTACAGGCTTGTGTTCTACATATAGCTCAGACTTGGAAGGAGGAGGCTTCAACTTGACAGATACTTCGGAAACGATATATGAAAGAAAAAAAATACGTTGTTAACTATGAGTATAAACTGCATTTTAATCGAAACTTGGTAAAAGATAAATAGACCAGCCCCAAGACTCTGACCCACAACTAGGTACATACACTTATTATCTACCTTTTACACAGTTCCATCACCACATTGCCGAAACTAGGAATCAAATAATTTGTTGCTGCTCTGGAATTTGTTCCTAGACTACATTTGGATATCCACAATTGGGGATCAGACAATTTTCAAGAGGTAAACCACTTTCGGCCATTTGTATTCATATACAACTTTGACACAATTTTGACAAGCCACATCAGTGACACAAAATTCTAAATACTGAGTGTGAAATGACTCGGAGAAAGAAAAAGGATGAAGATGAGACTGTACGCATTAGCTGTGATTCTATTATGTCAACGCAAGAAACATGTGAGTACTTGAAAAACAGAATAAATTATTAAACAGGAGTTATTAGAAAAAACGAAAGATTTAGAAAATTGTCAAGCATTTTGGAAAAAGAAACATTAATATACCACCTATCAAACGAAAGCCTAAGATTTCAAGAACAGTATTATCATATTTCATCAAACATAGTCGATAGGGACTGTATAGTATCACCACTTGAGACACTTAGCAGAATTGAGAAGTTAGAGAAAACAACAAAAAATTCCACATATGCCCAAGCAGTTATAAATTCACCATCAAAGAGTAAAGAAAGGACACTTAAAAGTCTTATCATTACCCCTGAACAACAACTGTCTAACTGCAGAACTAAGAACGAGCTGAGCAGAAATTTCAATTTATCAAAAATAAACATCAAAATTGAAACTGTTAAGAACTCTAAAAATGGTGGTATTGAATTATATGTAGAAGACCGCTACCATAAGAAGCTAAAAGAATAAATTGGGAAGAATCTGCCATCAACATATACAATGTCCGAACCGAAAGTGTTTAATCCTAAAATAAGGATTGTTGGGTACCACTCTGAAGAAAAACTTCAAGAACGTGAAATAATACAAAAATTTACATTGATTATGAAAAAGGATAAGAAATATCTATATAATCTTTATTATGCTCTTGTTTATCCTCTATTACTTAACGGAATTTTGGCTTGGGGGGGGGGGGGAGGGGAAGTTATGAATAATAATTACAACAAGGTTGATGTAATCCAAAAATTAATTCTAAAATTGATCCTCCATAGGGAGATTACTTATTCAAATGATTTTCTATATGTGGAGGCTCAGCTATTAAATTGCAGACAAATTTATTCTTATTGTGGTCTAATACATAATTTCAAATATTCGAAATACTTGAATCGTAACTACCCAACAAGATTCAATCAAAATTCAATGTGTATTCCACAAACATCAAAAACCATTACACAACGATCTCTGCTTTTCTTGGGACCAAAATTGTATAACTTCATACCAGAGTCATTAAAAGTAATTAAATCAAATAAATCATTTACAAAAGAAAAAAAAAATGGATTTTACAACAAGCAAGGTACTCCATCCACGAAATTGTATATCTGAAAAGTCATTATCAAAATCAATAATATTTCACTTACACTCCATACTTTTACTTTAGTTATAATTGTCTGGATATTTTTCCTGACATTACCATAATAATTCATATATATATATATATATATATAGTATTAACGGTTTATTAACGGTTCTTTTTCATACACTGTCTGTACTATTAATTTTATTTTTAACAAACTCAAACACATAGATGTATTGAGACAACGTTTACTAAGTGATACTCAACGAAGAAGCGATACAAAAAATGCCTGGTTGCTCATTTAATATAATTTGTAAGATTCTTCAAAAACTTCATCGTCGATCAAAATAAAAGCTTTGCAGATACAACTCCATCAGTAACTGGATATTCATTTCTATACTACCTATGCCTCAATTTTTGAGTTTGAATTTGTGTTTCACCTATAAAACGTAAATAATCGTATTTGCCAGAATAAGCCTGAGAATTGCCTCATTTTCAAATTAATATATTGAATGTTATTTTTGTAATTGAGGTTCTATAAGTAAATGGATAATCCCAAATATGTTCTCCGGTTGCTTATAACAAATTTCAACTTCCCATGAAACTAGTTTTCGTAATGACCAACCGTAATAACGCTTGACTAAACCCATCGCATTTAAATTCCAAACAACCTTGTACAACAAACGTACAACATCACTGTTTTAATAAATCCACCAGTTAAATATCTATGGATATTCCAAAGCACCCGTGGTGTTCTTTATTAGAAAACTTCTCGAAAGTTTTACCGGACTCAGATCAATATAGCCACGCTTCGGAAACATCAAAGCAATACCGCCGATACTAATTCAATAAATTTTAAAATCAGAAGCATCCTTCCTTTTATTAAACGAATTTCTGTGCGAGTTTCGAAATTTAATTCGAATTTCTGTTATCTCTCGACGTGGCTTTTAAATTGGCCGAAATCGTGGTGTAGAAACTCTTTGAAACTTAGGTTGTTTTGATAAATGATAGGTGAATATATCGGTGGGAATTCGTGTAGATTTAACATAGGAATGTCGAAAGCATGTGAGTAGTCCAAAGCGGATTTAATTTGAACTTTGTGCGTCGTTAGGTAGGAGATAGTTCTCAGATCTAAAGATGTAGGTACCAAATCATCTCCACAATTTTCCCAAGGATAATTAAAATTTCCAAAGCAATAAGCAGTAATTGCAATACTTAGTTTATGCCATATGTCATTTGAGTCTAGTGATTTGGAAACGTGGAGGGTTCCTATTCTGAACAGGCAGGAACGAAAGGCAAAGTTTGGTCATACATCAAAACCAGATGTGAGTGTCAGCGCCTATTTTATTTTATCCAAGAGCTGCTTCAAACTATAATAATCCTCATAAAAATGATCTGTTGCACTTTCTTGCTCTAAAGCATTGATTCCCAAAGTGGTCTATATCGACCCCTAGGGGTCTATGACAACCTGCAAAGGGTCTACGTCAGCGAAAAAAAATTTGGGGGTCCATGAAATGAATATGGGGGTCCACGACAGTGGATCTCAATGCATACACTGATAGTACCTATTTAATTGCATCATACTATCTTATAATATCAAAACATATACATTATTTATAAAAGTACCTATGAAGTAAAAAATTTATTATATATGTTTGTAAAATTGTGTAAGTTGTAGGATGTTGGTATTCGCTTTGTGGTCGCAATACATTTTGAACTTGTAAAAACCTGAGAGACGCAGTCTCAGAGCTACCTTGCACTGACTTGTTCTATAAGTACGAATGTGGGACAAATACGTTTATTCGTTTCCTGAATCTTGAAAAGGAAAGTGCTAAGAAAATATTTTAAAAAATATAAACAGATAGTATATCACACAAATTATAGTGAGTCAGTGTTATTTTGTTTGAGAGTGCTGGAGAAAAGTAAGCACATTGTTTTTTATTAAATTTTAGTTTTGTACTCGTAGATAGATAAATTACTCTAATCATGACTTTAGTTATTAGTAGTTGAATATTCAATCATGCAAAATTACACGAGTACTCCTCAATAGTTTCTTTTTGAAAGTTTTAGCAATCGGTAATATAATTACAGTGCAATCTCCGATGTTCGAATTATGGAATGTTTTCGGAAAAATCAAAAAATATTTTTAATATACAGCTGCTGGATTTTCTGTCTTATTTAAATAATTTAATTTTGCCCACAGATGACTGATGCCGTGTTCGAATCTAAAAAGAAATGTAGACAGTACAGTGGTGATTATTTGAAATTTGGCTTCATTCCATTATTGCCGGACAAACAATCGCCTATGTGCCTTTTATGCAACAAAGTTTTGGGCAACGACGCTATGAAACGATCTAAACTGCAAGATCATCTGAGAAGATGCCACCCTGATAAAACAGAGAAAGACTTGAAATACTTTCAAACACTCAAAGATAAATTTCAGAAGAGTCCTACACTGGACAGAATGTTCGATTCGACGTCACAAAGAAACGATGATGGTTTGCGGGCGTCTTACAATATCTCGTTACCTATAGCAAAATCCGGAAAACCGCATACTATCGGAGAGAAGTTAATTTTGCCAGCCGTTGAAGAGGTTTTAAAAACTGTTTTACAAAAACCTGCATCTGATATCATTAAAAGAATTCCCTTAAGCAACAATACTGTTGAAGGACGTATTGATGACGAATTCTGATATTGAAAGCTTCTTATGTAATTATTTGCAAACGACCCATTTCTCTATACAACTGGACGAGTCAACTTTACCTGATTATTATTGGCATATGATCGTTTTATTATGAATCAAGAAATCTACGAAGAACTGCTCTTCGCAAGAACTTTGATAACCGACACTAAAGGTGAATCAATATTTCATGTTTTGAAGGATTACTTCATTGAAAAAGCAATTCCTTTATCAAATATAATATCAGTAGCTACAGATGGAGCACCTGCCATGGTTGGACGTTATCGTGGATTTATAAGCTATTTAAAACAAAATGTGTCAGGGGTGTTAGCAATACATTGCGTCATCCATCGACAACATTTAGTTGCTAAAAACTTGAGTGTTAGATTGCATAAATCACTTCATTTAGTCATTGATGCAGTAAACCGAATCTGAAGCAACGCGTTGAATACGCGGTTATTTGCGCAGTTGTTTGAAGAAAATGACGAACACTTTCATCGATTACTCCTTCACACTGAAGTACGCTGGCTGTCGAAAGGCTTATGTTTGACAAGATTTTTTGCACTTTTTGAGACTATTTTAGAATTTCTGGATACTAAAGATAAGATTTTAAAAGAAAATTTAATGAAGAGGAAAACAGATATCGCCTATTTAACAGATTTGTTTACAAAATTTAATATGGTTAATTTGCAATTACAAGGCGACAGTTTAAATTTGATTAAAACAAAGTCCATCTTATCAGAGTTTCTTGCCAGAGTTAAACTAATGAAGCAAAATATTGGACGGGGCGAATTTTCCCAGTTCCCCAATTTGTCACAGACAAGCTGCCAGGAAGACGACGTTTCAACTCACGTTCAACATTTAGATGCCCTCTATTCAGATTTTGAATCTAGGTTTGAGGATATTTTGACTATGGTAATACCACCGTGGATAATTAATCCATATGGTGACATAGAAGAAACGAATGTCATAATACAAGAGGAACTGACTGAACTAAGTACAAACGAAGAACTTAAGGTTCAGTTTAAAAACGGTTATCAGCAATTCTGGCTGCAATACAACATACCCGTTACTTATCCCGAATTATGGAATATAGGGAGGAAATTTTTTAATTTCCTTTCCATCGTCATCCCTAGTGAAAAGGGGGTTCAGCGCTGTTACCAATCTCCTAACGAAAAAAACAGACTGGACATCATTAGCCGAGGAGATTTAAGATTAACCCTTACAAAATTGACGCCAAATGTTGATAATTTATTACTAAAGCATCAGGTTCATCTTTCTCACTAAAAATATTGACTTATTGCTTATGTTATTTTACTCATAGTTTATTTTATGTTTATTGGTATCTGACCAATAAATGCCAGCATTGGGAATAAGTGCCTGCATTGAAAAAAATAAATTAAAATAAAAAAAAAGTGAAAAATAATAAAAAAGTGTTTTACTTAAAATAGTACAATAATGATTGGTCAGACACCTGTTTCTTTAATGTTACGTATATTTTACATAACAGATACAAAATTTTATTTTGAGTAGTTTTAATTTAAATTCAATTAATAAATGTATAAATTAACATGTGTTTTTACTCTAAGTTTTTAACACGAAACTTCACTACAGTTAGAAATTTACAGGAAGTCAATATCAGGTAAGTAGGGGGTCTACCCAACACGGAAAAACATGGCAAGGGGTCTACGACACAAAAAAGTTTGGGGAACTCTGCTCTAAAGGAACACCTGAATGTACCCGACTATGACTCTCCATAATGCACTGCCAGCTTACGAAAATGAACAGATTTGCAAACACTCATAAGCCTTCAAAACTTGCCATGTTGGAAAAAAATTATATTCATCCCCAAGCTGCATGATTCTAAATCTGTTCAATACTTTAAACGATGCCGTAAAATAAATATGAGGGGATGTCCCAAACTGACGCCAATTCCCAAACTGCAATCTTATATGACCCATACTATTCCGATATTGGCTATTCCAAAGATTCTATAAAGAATACATAAATCTTTTAAACTTTTCCAATACCGGCTGACTTTCAATAAGGGCATTATCCATAATCGTTCCAGACAGTAACGCTCATGCATTTTAAAATGTTGAATCGGGGACATGTCGCACTGAGAATTTTAAAGCTAGGTATTTTTATTTGTCTTCTAGATAATCGCAGTACAATTTCGAGTGCTGGTTAATATTGTAACAGTAGGTTATGTCACTAGAGCTTACTAGGAAAATCAATCCACCAGGCCTGCGTCTTTATCGTTAGGTTGCTTAAGTCTTTTCGAAGGTATAAAACTTTTAAATGTACTAAAATAGTAAAAAGTAATAGAAGCAAACCATATGACATTTACATGGTATTTCCTTCCTCCCCAGAAAATAAATAAATTTTAAATTGATAGCATCAATGGAAATTGCGTTCAAATCTTTATAGCATACGTATTATAAACTTATTTCAACATTTTCATTCTTATTTTGGTATTTGATTGCTCCTTAAAAGCCAGAACTAGATAATTTTGGCATTTTTGTCTGAAAATTTACTCATAGTCGAATATCTATGAGCATCTTTATCTTCATATAAGCGCCAAAGCTTACCAAGACAAAAAGCTTATATAAAAATAAAAGTGTTGCTCTACTGCGCTTACATAAAACAAAGCAATATACAACTATAACAAAGCCTACAGGGATTCAAGTTTTGGCTATGTAGTAATATATAGTATTTTCTGATGTGCACTTCATGGTTAAATCATCCAAGCTTTTTGAACAAAATACTAATCGCTACATTAAATTGTCTCATTTGAAGCAGTTTTACCAATACTTGGAAAAGTTATTTTTTTCAACTTTGTTGGTAAACAGAAAATTCTCGGTAAAATTTTGTGTATCTCGAGATGAAAACATAGTGTATATATTTTTGTTGTAAGATCCGTCTATACAATTTTTTCCAGACATTCTAGATGTCCTGACCTATGCACTTCATACGACTGAAGAAATGTCCGCAACTTTCAGTTGTAGAGCAATTACAAAGCTCGAACAAGGTATTGAGCACGGTCAACGTCTCATTTAAAGCAGTACAATACTTGAAAAAGTTTTTTTTTCAACTTTGTTGGTAAACAGAATATTCTTAGTAAAATTTTCTGTATCTTCAGATGAAAACATAGTGTATATATTTTTGTTGTAAAAACCGTCTATACAAATTTTTCCAGACATTCTAGGTGTCCTGAACTGCACTTCATATGACTGAAGAAAATAACAATGAATTACGTTTTTCGAGGCTTTGTGCATTTCTGTCTCGTTACGCCAAAGATATTCAATCGCAGATTCTAACTTTTGTCCACCTGCAATTAGTGACAAATCCCTTTCTGTATACAGATGTCCTATTTGTCCGCAACTTTCTGTTGTAGAGCAATTACAAAGCTCGAACACGGTATTGAGCACGGCCAATGTCTCATTTGATGCAGTTTTACCAATACTTGAAAAAGTTTTTTTTCAACTTTGTTGGTAAACAGAATAATCTCAGTAAAATTTTCTGTATCTCGAGATGAAAACATAGTGTATATATTTTTGTTGTAAGATCCGTCTATACAATTTTTTCCAGACATTCTAGATGTCCTGACCTATGCACTTCATATGACTGAAGAAAATAACAATGAATTACGTTTTTCGAGGCTTTGTGCATTTCTGTCTCGTTACGCCAAAGCTATTCAATCCCAGATTCTAACTTTTGTCCACCTGCAATTAGTGACAAATCCTTTCTGTATACAGATGTCCTTTGCCGCAACTTTGATTGTAGAGCAATTACAAAGCTCGAACACGGTATTGAGCACGATCAATGTCTCATTTGAAGCAGTTTTACCAATACTTGAAAAATGTGTTTTTCAAGTTTGTTGGTAAACAGAATATTCTCAGTAAAATTTTCTGTATCTTGAAATGAAAACATAGTGTATATATTGTTGTTGTAAAAACCGCCTATACAATTTTTTCCAGACATTCTAGATGTCCTGAACTGCACTTCATATGACTGAAGAAAATAACAATGAATTACGTTTTTCGAGGCTTTGTGCATTTCTGTCTCGTTACGCCAAAGATATTCAATCCCAGATTCTAACTTTTGTCCACCTGCAATTAGTGACAAATCCCTTTCTGTATACAGATGTCCTGTTTGTCCGCAACTTTCTGTTGTAGTGCAATTACAAAGCTCGAACACGGCATTGCGCACTGTTCCATTTAGAAACTTCCAACAATAGAACCACAATCTGAACGAGCAAGAGTGAAGCAAACAACCATATTTCCCCGTTTTTGCCGATTTTATTCCCGGCACGTAACCCAGTTTAGAAAACGCGTCGCACAACTTCAGCGTTCCTCCTTCACTCGATCGTAATAACAGAGGAGACGTACAGTTCGAAAAAAAACGCACAGATTTCCGTCGGTTTTCGTTTTACCTCATTCGTCGCGGAACGTGTCTCAAATTCAACTGCAAACGGCTGAATCTCAGTCATTTTTACTGCCGTGTCTTCTAGATGATCAATATTTAATCTAGCGGAAATACGGATTTCTGAAGTTATGATAGTTGGATGTTGAACGGATGCAGCACTGTACTCGTTCGATATGATTTCTCAATAAGAATCAATTAGTGGAACTAACAATCCTTCGTGGCGGGAAAAGAGTGGAAATATTTCTAGGTAGACACTTACCAATGCCGTCAGTGGCGTACATCACCCTATAACGAAGCAAATTAAGGATCTGTTTACAAGAGGTTGAAGTATCTTCTAGTATAGAATTCCTGACATTACGTTTGGGTAATTCTGTAGATATCAATTTTGACGTTTCTGTTTCAATATGGTTGTAGCATCAAGCACCAGTCTGTTATAGCTGCAAAAAATATTGATTAGAGCAGAGCTAGTGTGGATTTTTGCCGAGACATTGGCCAGCTAAATAAAAAAGGAATAACTGAATCAAGCTTCCTGTGTGTGAAATGCAGAAGGGCAAAAGAAACTGCATGCTATTCTAGTTTCTTCTAACCCGAGTGAAAGCAGAACTATCTCTTTAATAAGTAAAGACAGACACGAGGTATCCTTCAATGGATTGCGAATGATACGTTTAGCTGAGCACGCAGGGAATGACATACCATGGGCCAATTTCACCAACAACAGTCCGTTATTCTCAAC